AGCAGCTCTGCTCGGCAGAACGTCACCTTCCGCTGTGCCGGGAATGCCGCCAAGGCCAGGAATAGCATCCGCTTCCTGGCGGCCAATGAGGAGGAGCTTGGGGCCACCAGCCCCTACGTCAAGGTGGTGATGGATGGTTGTGGGGTGAGTCACGTCGGGGGTGGTGGGGACGCACCTGGTGGTCCCAGTGCTCCTGGAGCCCCCCTTGTCCCCTGGTCCTGACCCTGCTTCTCCTCCATAGGTGAAGTCGGGCTCCGGGCGGATGGTGCTGGAGGTTCTCACCCCCCACCCAGAGCATCTCCCGCTCCGGGATCTCCTGGACATGGAACGAGGTGGCCTCGAGGTGGGCCCGGCCTGTTTCCTGGGCTGAGAGCACCCCCCATGGTCATGGACAGCCAGGATGACCATGGACGCACCCCAATGACCATGGATCCATCTCAATGACCATGGACCCACCCCATGACCATGGGCCCACCCCATGACCATGGGCCCATCCAGTGACCATGGACCCACCCCGTGACCATGGACCCATCCAGTGACCATGGACTCACCCCATGACCATGGACCCAGCCCATGACCATGGACCCACCCCAATGACCATGGACCCATCTCAATGACCATGGACCTACCCCATGACCATGGACGCACCCCAATGACCATGGATCCATCTCAATGACCATGGACCCACCCCATGACCATGGATGCACCCCAATGACCATGGACCCATCTCCATGACCATGGACTCACCCCATGACCATCGACCTACCCCATGACCATGGACGCACCCCAATGACCATGGACCCACCCCAATGACCATGGACCTACCCCATGACCATGGACCCACTCCAATGACCATGGACCCACCTCCACGTCCTCCAATGAACATGAACCTTGATATTCTCCAATGACCATGGACCCACCTCCATGTCATCCAATGACCATGAACCCCAATGTCCTCCAAAGAACATGAGCCTTGATATCCTCCAATGACCATAGAACTCCATGTTCTCCATTGACTATACACCAACCCCAGTGTCCTCCAATGACCATGAACCAACCTCAACGTCCTCCAATGACCATGAACCAACCTCAATGTCCTCCAATGACCTCCATCATCTCTAATGGGTTCCAGTCCAACCTCAGGCCACCCCCCCCATCTCCTCCACTGGGTCTCCTCCCAAGAGCCACCACCAGGAGCCCATGGAGGGAAGCGAGAAGAAGGACCTTGTGTGTCTTTAGTGTGTTCTTTGCTCTCTTAACTTAAGGATGTTATTTAAAGCCATGGATGCAACCACCCCCCTGCTCCTTGAGCTCTCCTCTTGTCCCCCCCCAATTCCAGAAGATGGGAATCTCCTCATGGAGATGGTGCTTGGGGGAAGAGGAACCTCTTTGGGTTGGATTTACAGGGGTGGGATCTTGGGAACGGGGTTGGAACAGGCGCTTCCAAGCCAACCCCATGCCATGAACCTATGGGTGAAACCAGGTCCCTGCTCCCATCTCATGGTCCCTTGGTGGGACACCCACTGAAGACCAGCATCTAGAAGGGAAGCACCACTCTGGGATGTCTCTTGGGATATACTGGGACCGGTGCAGGAGGGATGTGGGTCAGAGCGGATACTGGGACCAGTTCAGGTTTTTATTGCTATTCCCAGTCATTTTCCACTATTCCAATGGGATTTGGGACCATTTTGCCACCCACCCCCCTCCAAGGTCACTAGTATTGATGGGGCCGAGGTCACCACGACCCACGGGTGCCACCAGCCCCATGACGTGGTGGGGACACCATGGGGACACAGGGGGGGATCCCATGGGGTACAGGGAGGGATCCCATGGGGACACAGGGAGGGACACGGTGGGGACATGGAAGGACACATGGAAGGACACAGTGGGGAGATGTGGAAGGTCCAAAGTGGGGACATGGGGTCATGTGGGGACATGGATGGACACAGTGGAGGGGCACGACTCATCCCATGGTTGTCCCTATGGAAGGATCTCATTGTCCCCATGGATGTTCCCATGGCTGGACCTCATTGTCCCCATGGATGTCCCTATGGCTGGAGCTCATTGACCCCATGGATGTCCCCATGGTTGTCCCTATGGCTGGAGCTCATTGACCCTACGGATGTCCCTATGGAAGGATCTCATTGTCCCCATGGCTGGATCTCATTGTCCCCATGGATGTCCCTATGGAAGGACCTCATTGTCCCCATGGATGTCCCCATAGGTGGATCTCATTGTCCCCCTGGTTCTCCCCATGTCTGGAGCTCATTGTCCCCCAGGTTGTCCCCCTGGTTGTCCCCATGGCTGGACCTCATTGTCCCCCTGGTTGTCCCCCTGGTTGTCCCCATCGCAGCAGAAGGTGGGGGGCGGTGGGGCAGCACCAGCCCCATAGCGCCGGTGCCGCAGGACATGGCACAACCAGGCCACCAGGTGCCAGTACTCGCTGAAGGAGATGCGCCGGTCCCGGTTGGTGTCCAGCAGCGAGAAGACAGCGGCCACCGCCTGGGGCTGCCCCGTGTCCTGCGGGACGGGGTGCGGGTGTGGGATATGGGGTATGGTGGATGTGGGGACACACGGAGGGATCCCATGGGAACATGGGGACCTGGGCACACAGTGACCCGTGGTGGGACTCCAGGGGGATGTGAGGAGCATGTAACCACTGATGGAACCCCTTGGTGTTCAGAGAGCTCTGTCCCCACATGAAGCACCCCATGTCCATACCCCATATCCCACACCCCATATCCCACACCCCATATCCCATACCCCACACCCCATATCCCACAGCCCATCCCTGCTCCCTCACACGGAGCTGCCGGCCCAGCTCCAGGTGCAGGAGGCGCTGGAAGCTGTCGGGATCCAGGGATGGCTCCAGCCCCTCAGCCGGGGCCCGGGCGTAGCGGTAGAAGGTGTCGACCAGGGCCTGGAGCCCCTGCTCCAGAGGGGACATGGGGCCATCCCCATGGGAGCTCCCTGCGGTGCAGTATGGATATGGATGTGGATATGGGGTATGGATATGGGGTATGGATATGGGTATGGATATGGGATATGGCTATGGCTATGGATATGGGGTATGGGGTAAGGATATGGGGTATGGATATGGTTATGGATATGGGTATGAGTATGGATATGGGGTATGGATATGGGTATGGGATATCGGGTATGGGATGTGGGATATGGGATGTGGGACATGGGACATGGGATATGGGACATGGGATATGGGATATGGGACATGGGATATGGGATGTGGGGATAAGGGGGTGACACAGGGGACAAGGGTCACACCAGGCTCAGGTGCCCATTGCCCCAACCTGGTCCCATCCCAGTCCCTCCCCATTCCCGTTATTCCCATCCCAGTCCCTCCTCATTCCCATTATCCCCTGTACCGCTGGGCCTGGTGCTGGTGCCACCCCCTTGGCTCTGCCCCATGTCCCGCGGTGTCACCACGGCTCTGCCCCAACGAGAAGCCCCCATGAAGCCCCATTCCCAATCCCGGTATTCCCAGTGCTCCCGGTATTCCCAGTCCAACCCACTCACCGTGTTCCCAAGGGATACTCCAAGGTCAGGTCCAACCACATGACTTGGGCTATTCCTGGTCCCTGTGTCCCCCCTGGGGTGGCTCAGGTGACATTCCCACCCCTTTGGAGCTTCCCAATCCCTAAAAATGATCCCAAATCCATCACAAACACCCCTCCCCCCCCTCCAGAACCAATTAATGAGGCCAATTATTAATTATTAGCGTTAATTATGGGTTAATTAAGGGGAGGGGGAGATTTAGGCCCCAACTGACTGTGGGGTGGTGGATTCTCGGCTGTCTCGTATGAGGGTTGTGCGTCATTGAGGGGAAGGGGAGGGGGTGGGACTGCCCCATTCCCAAATAGAGGAATGGGGGGGTGGGATAGGGGGACATGGGGATGCTATGGAGTGGGAATGATCCCAACACACTCGATCCTGGTGGATGGAGGGTGGGAAGTTGGAGCTGGGATGGGATGATGGAAGAGCTGGGAATGGGGGATCCCCCTCATGTAGGGAGAGGATGGAAAGCTGGGATGGATCCTTGGGAATCTGGGATGGATTCTTGGGAATCTGGGGTGGATTCTTGGGAATCTGGGCTGGATATTTGGGAATTTGGGATGGATTTGGGAATCTGGGCTGGATCCTTGGGAATCTGGGATGGGTCTTTGGGAATCTGGGATGGGTCCTTAGGAATCTGGGCTGGATCTTTGGAATCTGGGATGGCTATTTGGGAATTTGGGATGGATCCTTGGGAATTTGGGATGGATCTTTAGAATCTGGGATGGATCTTTGGGAATCTGGGATGGATCCTTGGGAATCTGGGCTGGATCCCTGGGAATTTGGCCCCGTGTAGGGCCCAAGCCCTGCGGG